CCACCTTGCAGCCCTTCGCACGTTATTTTAATGAATCACAATATAAAGCAAAAAGCCAGCGCTTTAAATTTGTAGATTAAGAGTAAACATACTCCCAAAGAGCTGAAACAGGGCGATGATGTTTGAATGAAACAACCCTCCCTCCTCCCCTTTCACAGATACTGAGGGATTGGTGTCATCACGATACTGCAAAGAACAAGACCTGACAAGCCCAACTAATGCAAACAGGCATGTGGTGGTTAAATAAAATAGTTTGGGTTTGGCCTCCCATGTGACGCTTTTATTTTATGTCAAGTGAAACTCTGCAGATGAAATCAGATGGATTCACAGAAACTCTCTTGTTCAATGTATGTGGACCTACTGAAGGATCCAGTGACTATTCCCTGTGGACAACACTTCCAATAATCACAAGTATGTGACTTTCATTAATGATTATTGTGGGTTTGGTAGGTGTCACTTTATGAGAAGTTACAGCTACATAAGACAGTAGAAACATGAAAGATATCAGTCTGACCCGATTCATATTAATCCAGGGAGTGAAAACAGAATTTTTCTGATGTTTGTAAATGTTTGCAAAGTGTCACTCAATCTAACCCAAATACTGCACTAAAAAAAGGGCCAATATGATGTCAATATACAGCTTAGTTTTGGTGCATCACGACCCGTGAATGCTGCCAAACTTGAAATGATTGTGTTTAATTGGATCATAACATGTCAGGACAGGGCAACCTGAAACTGATGAAGATTTCACTGACAGACATTGTAATGGATTACAATGACACAACAACAAGCTTTGCTCAAGTCCAAAATTGAGACCACTGTTAATGGCTCACACATACAACTGAAAAAAACACTTTCTCAAGTGAAAACCACAAACTTAAATCTGTAGATTCCAGGTGAACACGCTGCCAAATCAGCTGACATCAACTTGAATGAGACCAACACTGATAACCCTCCCTCCTCTCCAACAGAGCTCTGCCTCCTCCCCTTTCACAAATCTGCCAGCTGAGGGATTGGTGTCGTCACAAACATGCAAAATATAAGAACTGACAGAAACAGCTCCTGCAAATCAGTGTGGGGTTTGGCCTCCTGTGTGATGCTGAGAGGTGAAATGGCGCAGCGGGGACATCAGCTGAATTCAGAGAAATTTTCTTGTTCCATCTGTCTGGATCTACTGAAGCATCCAGTGACTACTTCCTGTGGACACAGCTACTGCATGAACTGTATTAAAAGACACTGGGATGGAGAAGATGGTAA